TATATATGTTGATCTCTTCCGTAAACCCACGGATAAGCATATGTACCTGCTCCCTTGCAGCTGTCATCCCCCGCACTGTACAAAAAACATTCCGTACAGCCAAGCATTGCGCATGAGACGCATTTGTTCTTCGGATTTAGATTTTCAAAATCGCACAGAAGAGCTATCCGAAAATCTCCGGAATAGAAATTATCATCGAGGACCCATCGAAAATGCTGTAAAAAAAGCAAAGGACATACCTCGTGCTCAAACACTGACGTACAAACCTTGTCAACGATCGACCAGAGTGCCACCGATCACTACCTATCACCCTAGGTTACCATCACTAAGGGCTATAATTCAGAAACATATGCCCATTCTACAGACCACTGAACGTCTTAGGTCTGTTTTTCCGGATACACCGTTCATAGCCTATCGCAGACCACCTAACCTTCGTGATATATTAGTACGATCTCAATTCAAGAGGCAAATTAACTCTTGCTAATCTGGGTAGTCATCTTTGTGGTTCATCTTGCAAAACATGCTCCTTGCTTGATTCTACACAATCATTCAAGAGCAACCAAACAAACCACATATTTCGGATAAAGCAATCAATTAATTGCCTCACCAAAAATGTCATTTATCTCATATATCGTAATATTTGTGGTAAACAATATGTCGGAGAAACAAAAAACACTCTCCGTATGAGAATGACACAACATAGATCAGCTATCAGCCAGTAGCCGAACATTTCAATTTAGCTGGTCATTCAATTTCAAATTTCAGAGTGATTGCAATTGACCATAATGCCAATTGGAGCGACAAAAATCGCAAAGATAAAGAGAATCACTGGGAACTTTTACTTAAAACCACCACACCATTTGGAGTCAATATTAGGAACGTTCTCCTCCCAGTACACTAAATTAAACCTATGGCATTCCAAATTATTCTGGATAAATCATTTGGCTTATTTATTGAGGCATGCCTCTAAAGTTTAGTTTTGGCCTTCCTGTTTACTTGTTTAGGCTGTTTATTNNNCCTAGCCTATTGTTTCTAATCATGCTTGCATGAAATTCTCACTTTATACTATCTGGCTTTTTCAACCCTCACTCACTCGCCACTGAGGAAGGACTAGTGTTGTCCGAAAGCTCTGGTTCTATTTTTGGCTGTTTACTTTTTAGCTGTTGCTTATTGGATTACCTCTTGTTATTGTCCGAAATCTTTTTGGTAATCCGCTCCGCTAGCGGATCACCTATTGTTATTGTCAGAGATCTTTTTTCCCCCCCATTTCTTGTTAGCACGATATCTAAAAATTGGCACGAGATTCATACATGCATGCTTCAACAAAGATTTAGCTTGGTCTGGAATAGTCACAATAAGGTTTTCAAAGTACGCAGTTATGCGTGACGTCATCTACGCGCATTTTTGCGTTTTTACATTATCGATCATATCAGCCTAACCAATTGCCATTTCGAAATCGTATTAAGTGAGCATTAACTTCAAGTCAATGTTAAATGTAATGTACCCTAATGTTACGCGTGCGCGTCATAACGCACGCGTACGCGTGCGTCAAACTTTTAAAATGCTCGAAATCATATTTAGATTAAATTAGGGCACGTTTCAGGCCATTTTGAGCATTTTAAATTTTTTTGAAATTTACCACTACGCGTGCGCATTTTTTACGCGCGCAGCACGTATGAAAGCTAGAAATTAATTTTTTTGTCACATTTTGGGTTCCTGACATTGTTTTGACAAGTTTCCAATCTTTTCAATCACTCTATGGCCAATAACAATGCCGTACGCACGCATCAAACATAGTGACCTTTGNNNCGCATTTGTGCCGATATACAGTGAAATTTTGCTAAAATCAGGCCTAATTTTAAACAGTTACAGCTCTTTAGGATGAAAGGTGACCCCCAATTTTTATTACATATTCTGAAAGCACATGAGTTGTAAATATGATTTTATAGTTGATAATGGCTGATCGGACATTATGACGTCATCATATTGCCATCTGAATTCAACAAACTGAATATTATCGATGACCTCATTTTAGCAAATGCGCATTTGAGCGTATCTCGCTTATTCTTGATCGATTTTCTTCCAACTTCGAGTATGTTGTAGCTGAGGCAATTCTCTTTCATATATGTGGCATTTTTTTACATTTTGATGACGTCATCATGGTCAAAATATAGGGTTTTGCTTACCCCGCTCATCTTTCTTTCGTCAAGCCTTTGATGACCCCATAATCACCTTAATCAGTCGTGATTTCTGACTCATATTTAGTGGGTATAAACTTCAGGTCATGGTTAAATGTTATGTACATTATATTTTTGTGCGCGCGTAATAACGCGAGCGTTCGCGTGCGTCAAAATTAATATATGCTTTATATCATGTCTTTTTTAGAATCAGTTATAGCTCCTTAGGATGAAAGGTGACCCCTAACTTTTATTACATATTCTGAAAACACATGAGCTGTAGATATGATTTTATATATCATAATAGCTGATCGGACATTGTGACGTCATCATATTGCCATCTGAATTAAAAAAACAAGAAAAAAATTATATTTCTTTTCTCAAAACGTTGATGACGTCATATCATCTTAACCATTCGTCATTTCTGAATAATATTAAATGGGCTTATACTTCAGATCAAGTTTAAATGTTAGGTATCTTACTTTTTTGTTTGCGCGTCTTAACGTGCGCGTGCGCGTGCGTCAAATATTACATATGCTTATAATTATGCCTA